CCCCCCACCCCCCTCCACCCCGGACTCCCTCTCGTCTCTGCACCTCCCCTCCATCCCTCCCTCTCTCCCTCCTCCCGCCAGCGTCTGGCTGCATCTGCGGGGCGGGCACTCCGGCGCTCGGATCCCGGGCTCCGTGTGGTCTCGGAGCGGACTCCTGACCGGGGCGCGCTCCCGCCGCCGCCGCCGCCGCTTTCCCTGGATGGAGTTGGCAGGCGGGGGGCGCGCCTGGGGCCGGGAGCGGAGCTCGCGTTACCGGTGCCAGTCCCCTCTCTCTCACCGAGCCTCTCGCTCTGTCCACAGACTGTCCCCCGTCGGCGACCAGAACCGCAATAGCGACGGAGTCATCCTGGACATCGCGTCCCTGAAAATGAACGAGCTGGAGACGGACGTCCCTCCGCTGCCTCCAAGGTACCGATTTCGGGATTTACTCTTGGGAGACCAGTCCTTCCAGAACGATGACAGGTAAGTGCCTGAACTCCTCATTTCCAGTGCTGAACCCTCCCTGCTCCAGCAATGATAGTGAGGGGGAACAGATCAGTATCGCTGCTGTAGGGAGCTGTCCAAAGTGCTGAATCCTGGACTGTTCCCTCAAGACCGTTGCTGCACTATTATCCTTCCCATTGACAACGTGTTTGGAATTTCTTTTATTTTAAGCTTTAATCTAACTTTAGAAGGGGGAAAATTGTTAAGACAGCAAAAGTTGAATTAGACGGCACCCAGTTATTCATTCCATGTGACAGAGTTTTCTGAACAAACACAATAGATTATGGGGCACTCAAATTGTGGCTTGAGTTTGGGTGCCAGAAGTTAGCTGAGTAAAATGATTTTTCAACTCCAAGATGCCAATATTAATTCTAATACAGATCTGATTCTTGGGTTTGGTTCATCCCTCCTTAATTTGGTCATTGCAGACTTAATGGGTTGAAGGGTCGCTTCTGTACTGTATGACCTTAAAACTCTAGTTTTGATTTAACATTGGTCATGTTTACAATAGTTAGATTTTCAACGGAATATAATTTTTTAAAGCACGTTTCCTTTTTTACTATTTGCTATCTTTTTAGTTTTTTTTTGTTGTTTGCAAAGTAGTTGTTGTATTATTCATTTGATTATAGTTTGGAATGCGGATTGAAATTATTCATGCTCCCTACAACCATTAATTGTAACTGCAGCCAAGTCAGAATCACATCTCTTCCACACTTTCAAAGCCAAAATATTGGGTGCAGAAATTAAGAACTATTATATTCCCGTTTTTTAAATGATACAGTAGCTTTGAAATATTCACAAAGAATAGGAACTTTGTAGCATTGCAGAATGAATATCTAAATTGATGCATGACAAAGGAGCATAATATTAAAATGACAACTATTTATGAATGCTTTCAGAATGTACTTTTTCACGCAAAAGGCTGTGGGATGTTCTACTTTAAGATTTTGGATGTTGGATCAGTTGAGATTTTCAAGACAGTGATTGATTGATGTCATTAAAATTACCAAGGGATTTGCTATAGGTATGGTAAATTGGGTTAAGTTCAGTCATGAACCAAGGAACTCATAAATGAGCTGAATGACCTACTTTTGTTTTCTATAAATGGTAAATTAATGAAACCAATAGAAATGCTGTGTAACTATTTTGGGTCAATATGTTACATTTTTGTATAAAATCTCAAGTTATGTTTGTAATTGTTAAAACTGTGAGATGACTTGCGTGCATGGCCATAAGATCATGACACCATAAAATGTGAGAGCAGGAATAGGCCATTTAGCCCATCAGGTCTGCTCTACTATTGAATATACTTAACAATCTACCCTCAACAGCCCTCTGTGACAAATAAAGCACAACCTAGAAACATACAAACATGGAAAATAGGAGCAGGAGTCAGACAATTCTCCCAAGGAGCCAACTCCAGTATTCAACATTATCATGGTGAATCTTCTACCTAACCCATACTCCCACTGTCTTCCATAGGCCTTGACACCTTTAGCCTTTAGTGATCTACCATTTTCTTTCTTAAACATATTAAGTGACTTGGCCTCCATGGCCTTCTGTAATAGAGAACTCCACCCTTTGAGTGAAGAGATTTCTCCTCATCTTTGTCCAAAATGGCCTACATCATAACTCAAAACAGTGACCCCTTACTCTTCGGCCAGGGGAAGCATTATCCCCTGTCCAGAATTTTATATATTTCAATGAGATCTCCTCTCATTCTTCATGTTATGATCTGCTGCTTCTATCTGTTTTCACACTGCTGTTACCACTCTTCTTGACACCTCTCAGCTTTCCTAAAGACAAAAGATAACCTCAAAACATAACCAGCTAACAGAACTTAGCAATTCTGACCACTGAGATAAATCACTTGGAAACAGCTTAAATATAATAAAAACTATATCCTCTGATTCTGAAATGTTCTGAAATATATAGAAATGTGGACCCTACCTGCCAGTTTGTAAATCGCTATTTGCTGTTTAACTGTGACAATTACTTTTAGCACAAGAACAAGGTAGGTCTATCATTACATGACATGGAGGTATGATTTACTTGCATCCTTTTAATTTGTTTTATGTGTACTTTCTCAATTTTAAGAAAATGATTTTAATGAGTGTTCAAAAGCTTTCCCATAATGGGACAAAGATGGAGTTAATGGCTCCTCCTGTGTGAATTTCCTGTTGCTTAGTTACCTATGGTTCACTAGATGTTTTTATGGATGGTACAAAGATATCTGTTCAGATTCCTTTGCAACACATTATATTGTTTAATTCTCCACTTTGTCTGAGTTAGAAATTCCATCCATTGTTGGGGCTCAGATTTGACTGTACCTTGGAAATAAAGGCAGTGTCCATGTTAGGGAACAGGTTATTCTAAGAACTGAAGTTCATGAAGAGGAGCAAATTTAACAAGTTTGATAGAGCACTGTGTCTCTATTGCATTCCTGTACATTCAATAAGAAAATAGACTTGAGGATTTATGATGAAGAATTTTATTTCCTTTTATTACAGAATGTAATTCCAATTTCTTACGGTGGCTCAGTAGTTAGCATAGCTGCCTCACAGTGCCAAGGACTCAAGTTTAATTCCACCCTTGGGAACTTGTGCAAACTCCACACAGATATTCTCCCTGTGTCTGCATGGGTTTCCTCTGGGTGCTCCAGCTTGCTTCCACAATCCAAAGATGTGCAGGTTAGATGGATTGGCCATGCTAATTTGCCCATATTGTGTAGGCTCGGTGGGTTAGACATGGGAAATGTGGGGTTACAGGGATAGGGTAGATAGGGGTGTGGGTTTGGGTAGGATGCTCTTCAGAAGATCAGTATGGGCTTGATGGGCCAAATATCCTGCTTCCACACTGTAGGGATTCTATGAAATATTTGTAATTAAAATTCTGAATCTCTTTTGAATTAAAATCATAGTTCAGTTTTGCAAAATTAACTAGATAAAGATGAATACTAGTCCATGGTATGCCCAAATTTAATTTTTATATTCAAAGAATAAAGCTGTGTTGGAGGAAGATAAATAAACAAATTAAGATTAATCCGATTTACACAAAATTTTCAAACTGTAAACAAAATAAATGTAATGTCCCTGTAGTCAAGCTGTACCCTTGAACTGTATGAAGCCTTGAATTAACCTGAAAATTTATTTAGTTATTCAATTCTGCTCAGCTTTGCTTTGAGTCTTTTAAATAGTAGAGCTCAAGTGGATGAATTATTGGAAGACATTAGTAGATATTGTTTGTTTTTGCTGTGGTATTAAAATACAAGGTCACGTGCAGTCCGATGGCTTTATCGGCTGGTTTACTTGTATACTGCATCACAGCTTGCTTGGATATGTTGCAACTGCAATGCAACTGCATTGACTTGGTCTTTAGTCACAAGCTCAAGGTACAAAGGCCAGTTTCTGCCCACTGTCAAGAAATAATCTTCATGCATTTGTTTACTAATTCCAATGAATTCATTGCAAAGACCTAAGCACTAGTCAAATATCATCTTCCTTGGTTTGAGAGCAGTATGGGAGGGTAAGGAGACTATAACAGTATAATTTTAAGAAAATATAGTTCTACCAAAAGAGAAATATGTTATTTAATATATATTTGCAAATAGTTGCAAAATGTACATTTGTAATTTACAATAATTAATCGACATGTATCAACAAATTTGGAGACATTTGGATATGTCATAACGGAATGCTTCAGTTGGCTCTCAGCAACTGATGTCTTTCACAGTTGTCATCTTTCAAAGCTTGCGCTTGTGATCATACATTGTATTTTCTGACCTTGACTGTTATCATGCACCGCACTGTAAACAGACTATTTTGTGTAGCTTCTGCATCAAGTTAATTTGGTCTTTAATGAAAATCATGTTTTCAGATTTTGTATTTTTGTATATTCTGCTTGTGGAGGACAAACAACAAAGCCAAATTTGCAACAATGTTAATATTTGACATGAATACTTACAGCAATATTTCACTATGCTATCACTTGCAGCAGAGATGTTATAATAAGAATCACTTTGCAGTTGCTGTTGAATGCACCCTACAGTTTGCGAAACTTAAATTAACCTGAGCTTTGCTACATACCATGTAGTACACCTTCAAAACATTTACAAATTGCAAGTAAGTTGAACATGAGGCCTAAAGTGAGTGTACCGCTCCCTAACTATAAATGATATATACTACTCAGAAAAGAAAATTAGTAGAAAGTACTGAGATAACAGAATCGGGATTCCGTAACTGACTAAGCAGAAATAAAACACCTATATTCATTTGCTACCTGGGATCATTGTTGGTCATCTGTTATCTTGTGTACAAGAACCCTGTGGAAAATGCACATTTTATTGTTTTTTTTGAGATTGTACAAAATGTACATACTGTTCTGTTAGGAACTAAATTGTACAAATAATCAGTATGCTTTAGCTCAGCATGTCTTGTGCATATCCCTGTAAGTTTCTATCACTGATTGGAGCTGAAGTTGGGTGCAATGTGAAGTTCCATTTGGTTTCAGTGGAGATTTGCTTATCCCTATGTTTATTGACTCAGTAGTTTTATGATATTTTACGTAGCATCAAGATGAGGGATGTGAAATGGAACATCATCTTCAATTTAGGGACACCACACTAATCATTCAGCTTTCTCCAAACAGACAATGCACATATTAAATAGAATAGCTGCTCACTCTGCTCTGCTTTGCTAAACGATATTGCCTAATGACAGCGTTAGAACAACATCATATATAACGGTATCACCAGTGTGATGTTTTTCCATTACTTCCTGACACCAGCTATTGTGGCTGCTCTGAGTCATTTTGCAAATTCACTGGATTCAGAAGCAGCTCTGTGCCTTGCTCTGGACCTGATAAGAGTTGTTCTGAGACTAATTGAATTCAGTTTGCACTGTACCCATCCAGCAAAGTGAGAGGCTTTCAACTTATCGTTATCTGGATGCATCAGAAGTATAATAAGGCTGCACCAAGTGATTGCACCATTCAGTCCTCTGCATTGGGTATAGGGTTACCACAGCCTAGACTCGAGTGTCCTCCTCTATTTTAACTTCTGTAGCAAATGACTGAAAGCAGAAGTTTTAAATCAATTCATAGGATAAGGTTGACACCATGTTAGCCATCAGTTATTGCCTATCTCTAACTGCCCCCCCGAGATAGTGGTGCTGAACCATCTTCCTGGACTTGGGTAGTGTTGCAGAACAAAGGAACCTAGGGGGTTCAGGTACATAATTCTTTGAAGCTTGCATTACATATAGAGAGGGTGATTAAAAAGGTGTTTAGCACAGTCCTTTGAGTACAGAAGTTGGGAAGTCATGTTGAGGTTGTACAGGACATTGCTGATACTTCTTCTGGAGTACTGTGTCCAGTTCTGCTTGCCCAATTAGAGGAAGGATATCATTAAGCTAGAGAGGGTTCAGAAGAGATTAACAAGGACATTGCCCAGTACTGAGGGCTTGAGTTATAAAGAAAGGCTGGATAGACTGGGACTTTTTCACTGGATTGTAGGAGGTTTAGAGCTGACCTTTATAGAAGTTTATAAAATCATGATGAGTATAGAGAGGATTAATGGTAGGTGTCTTTTCCCTAGGATGGGGGATTTCAAGATCAGAGGAATTTTTAAGGTGAGAGGAGAGAGATTTGAAAAAGACATGAGGGGCAAATTTCTTACACAGAGGGTGTTTCGTGTATTGAATGAACTTCCTGAGGAAGTGGAGGATGTGGATACAAATACAACGTTGGAAAGACATTTGGATAAATTTGGACGTGAATAGGAAAGGTTTGAAGGGATATGGGCCAGAAACAGGCAGATGGGACCAGAGTAGTTTGGGATTATGTTCGGCATGGACTGGTTGGACTAACGGGTCTGTTTCTGTGCTGCATGATTCTATAACTTTGTAACTTGCTTGCCAATGTCCAAGGTCTGTTCAGATTCAACCACATTTCTGTGAGTCATGAGACACATGCAGACTAGAGTGAATATGGATGGCAGATTCTCTTCTCTAAAAGACATTTATGAACCTGATGGGCATTTACAACAGACTGATATGACACAAAAACAGAAGTTGCTGGAAAAGCTCAGCAGGTTTGGCAGTATCTGTGAAGATAAATCAGAGTTAACATTTCAGGTCTGGAGAGCCTTCGTCAGAGCTGTAAAGAGTTCTGAGGAAGGGTCACCAGACCCGAAATATTAACTCTGATTTCTCTTCATAGATACTGCCAAACATGCTGAGCTTTGCCAGCAACTTCTGTTTTAGTTTCTGATTTACAGCGTCCACAGTTCTTTCGGTTTTTATTTAGTCCAATATGACATATTTTCATTCCCACTATTACTGAAACTCAGCCTTTTTAATTCCAGATTTATTGGAATTAACTGGATTTAAATTCTCCAGCTGTAAAAGTGGGATTTTAACTCTTGCCAATGAATTGTTAGTCTAGGTTTCTGGATTACTATCCAGTATCAGAACTACATTGAGCCTAAAGAAAATGTAAAGGCTTTTCTGATGTGCATCACTGGCTGACTAGACCAGCATTTATTGCTCATCTCTAAGTTCCCTTGAGAAGGTGGTGGCAAACTCATTCTTGTATTCTTGCATTCAAGCGATACAGGTACACCCACAGTGGTGTTATAGACCATAGAATCCCTACAGTGTGGAAACAGGCCCTTCAGCCCAAAGAGTCCACACTGACCCATAGAGCATCCCACCTAGACCTATACCCCTGTAACCCACCTAATCTACACATCCCTGAACACTACAGGCAATTTAGCATGGCCAATCCACCTAGCCTGCACACCTTTGGACTGTGGGAGGAAACCAGAACACCTGGAGGAAACCCACGCAGACACAGGGAGCATGTGCAAACTCCACACAGACAGTTTCCCGAGGGTGGAATCGAAACAGGGTCCCTGGCACTGTGAGGCAGCAGTGCTAACCACTGAGCCACCATGCCACCCCAAATTTTCTGATTCTTGAGCTCCTACAAGTATGCTGCTGATGACCTGAATAGGGCCAGTGGACAGGATGTACTCTTCATGTTGGGAGTCTTAAGAAGCCCATGTCCTATGGCTTTCTAGGTATTCATGTATAGGATTTGGACCAATGATAATGAAGATGATATTGATGACATTCCCTGTGCTAGCATGGTATTACTTAGATGGACTCTTACATGTAGCGATATCCCAAATGGCTATTGTCTTCTGGCTGTGGGCTTGGCAGCTGCTATCACAGAAGCCTTGGTGAGATACTGCAGAGTGCATCTTGTAAGTAATGCATGTTGAAATCACTATGCACTGGCAGTGGAATGAGTTAACACTTAAGGTGGTGGATAGGGTGCAAACCCAGCAGCTTGCTTTGTTCTAGGTATTTTCAAGCTCCTTGAGTATTACTGGAGCTCATCTGGACGAGTAGGAATTACCCCATTGCAGTCCTTACTTGTACTTGGTGGATAAAATCTGGAAAGTCAGGAGTTGAGTTATTTGTTATGGCATATTCAAACTGTGGTGGAGTATTTATGTGGCTAGTCTAGTTAAGGTACTAATCAAGGGGTAAGCACTAAGTTGTCGACAATGGGAGAAGTCAGTGATGAAAATGCTCTTGAACGTCAAAGGGAGATGATTACAGCTGCCTGTCTTCTATGTGCAGGAGTCTACTTTTCAGTCAAAGTTTGGATGTTGTCCAAGTCTTGCTGCACATGTGGAGGGATTTGGGCCAAGCGCAAGCAAGGTGGGACTAATTTACTTTGGGATCATGGTCGGCGTGGACTGGTTGGACCGAAGGGTCTGTTTCCATGCTATATGTCTCTGCATTACTGTGTAAGGAGTTGTGGATGGAACTGAAAAGAGTGCAGTCATCAGTGGCCTCATGATGGAGGAAAGGTTATTGATGAACAGCTGAAGACTAAGCACAGTGCACTGAGGAAACCCTACTGCTGTGCCCTGTGCCTGAAATAATTGGTCTCAGGCCACCACCACCACCTTTGTGCTAGGTACGACTCCTTTTGGAATGACTGGGAAATAGAAGAAAAATACTATCTTGACAGGAACATTCAGCTAGGCCACTGAGAGGAAAGGAGGACTGGTAAAATTGTGGCAGAAGGGAAGCCCAGTGTCATTCTGCCAGATTCAACCACATTTCTGCGAGTCATGAAACACTTGCAGGCCAGGGTGAATATGGATGGCAGATTCTCTTCTCTAAAAGACATTTATGAACCTGATGGGCATTTACAACAGACTGATATGACACAAAAACAGAAGTTGCTGGAAAAGCTCAGCAGAACTGGGATTAGTACTGGCTTGGTTGCTTGCCTGCCAACTGGAGGTAGGTGGCCAATGAACTTAATGCATTGGTGAAATAGCTGCTATTTTACTATATTGCCAGGATTTTGTTGCCTCCATGTAGTAACATTTGCAGGGCCTCGATTATTCACTTTATTTATTAATGACTTTGATAATTGCACAAAACGTCATGAATCCAATTTTGCTGATGACACAAAATTTGGTGGCACTGTGGACAGTGTAGATACTAACATAAAATTACAAATGGATATTGACAGACTAGGTGAATTGGCAAAACTGTGGCAGATGGAGATCGATGTCAGTAAGTGTGGGGTTATCCATTTTGGACTGAAAAGGATAGAACAGGGTACTTCCTAGATAGCTTTAAATTAAATACAGTGGGTGTCCAAATAGACTTGAGGGTTCAGGTGCATAGATGTTTAAAATGTCACAAATGGCTGCTAAAAATAATCAAGGAAGCTAATGGAATGCTGGCCTTTATACCTAAAGGCTGGAGTACAAGGATACAGGAGTTGTGCTGCAGATATACAAAGCCCTGGTTAAACTCCACTGGAGTACTGTGAACAGATCTGGGCACGACATTTTAGGAAGGATAAATTGGCCTTGTAGGGAGTACAACATAGGTTTACAAGAATGATGCCTGGACTTTAGGGGTTAAGTTATGAGGAGAGATCAAACAAATTAGGAATGTTTTCTCTGGAATTTACAAGGTTAAGGAGTGATCTGATTGAAGTTTTCAGGATATTTAACAGGAAAAGACAGGGTAGAAAACGATAAACTATTTCCGCTAGTTGGAGATTCTAGAATGAGGGGGCATAGTCGGAGAATTAGGGCTGGACCACTCAGGAGAGATGTTAGAAAGCACTTCTACATAAAAGGATGGTAGAGATTTGGAACTCCCTTCCACAAATGGCAGTGGATGCTGGATCTCTTGTTAATTTTAAAACTGAGATAGATAATTTTTTGTTAGGAAAAGCTATTAAGGGATATGGTCCAAAGGCATGTGTATTGAGCCAGTCCACAGATCAGACATGATCTCATCGAACGGTGGAACAAGATTGAGGGGCTGAATGGCCTACTCCAGTTCCATAATGATTCTGTGATCTATATTTTGGTATAAATCATGGTTGAAGTAAGAATTCTTATTTTGGGTAAACAATCTCTACTTTCTTGTAATTTCCTGACCTCAAAAATGCAAATGTTAGGTTTATTTAATTGGATATGGACCATTCTCATGGATGAACTGATAGATCATAGAAAAATTGACTGGTTACTGAGCCAGCCAGGGTGGTTACTGAGCAACTGTTTTCGGATAAAGAAAATGGTTCCTCACATCATCTTCTACATGTTGTGACATTGGCTATTCTACACAAAGTACTTCATTGCAAAACATTTTACAGCCAATGTCCTGAGATTGCAAAAAGTGTTATTTAAATACAAGTTTTTGTTTAAGGTTGCTGTGCAGGATCCTGACCAATGAAATTGTGATTCCAAACAGTCTCAGCCATCAAAAGAAGTCAGAATGAACTGTGGTTGTGAAGAGAATGGTGATCAAGCTAGTAATACAGAACCTAAATCTAAATTATCTCCAGATAGTGGATCTAACCCACATTATTAGTTTGCTTGGCCACAGACAATCCCATCTGGCACTTTGTTTTTGTTGTTTATTGTATCCCAAAGCACAAAACATTTTTTCAGAAGTGAATAGGTTTGTCATGTATTTAGAGCTAGCAGCCAGTTTGTGCCCAGCAGGACTTCACGAAAGAGATGCATGATCAAGTAATCTGTTTGTTTGTGGCTGTGGGTGGAATATTGACTGGGAGAATGTCCTCAGGTTCTTATAAGGTGCTCCAATTGGACACTTTGTCTAAAGAATTGTGCCCCAAACAATGCACTTGAGTTGCCAATTTGGAGAAAGAGTTTCTGATTATGAAGTGAGGTTTAAAACTAGAATCTTCTGACCTGAGGGAAGCGACCAAATCAATCTGTAATGTAGATTGAAACTTTGCAAGACCTTGTCATCTTCGGGTTTGTACGTGATGGGCTGATTGACTGACCGAAAAATTATCTTTCGGTTTTCCATTCATCAATACAAAGAAACCAACATGAGGAGAAATGTTTAGAAGCCTGATCAGGGAGAACAAAATAGATGTGAATGGCCTTGGGGACGGAGATGAAGTGAAAATTCATGTGGATACACCAATGAGAAAGCTATGAAATAGTGGATAAAAATAGAGAAGCATAAAAACTAACTATCTAGGGAAAGGAAAAGCAGAGGTAAGGTACAGAAGAGAATCTTTGTCCATGCATTTTCTGTGCTTATTAATACATTTTAGTCTACAGTGATTACTTGTTACTGATGAGGAGATTGTCCAAAAAACATAAACTTGACTAAATGCCTCCCTGAATGGCTGGCCAATCAGTAATTGATATTGACAAATGTCAGATGATAATTAGTCCTATAAATCTTTTTTTAAAAATCTATTGGTTTGCAAGATGTGGGCTTGCCAGCATTTATTGACCATTCCTAATTACTCCGAAAAGGTTTTGATGAGCTGTCTCTTTGGGGGTGTAGGTCCACCCACACTGATATTAGAAAGTGAGCGTACACTACATCACTCCAACACTGGGTTTAGACTTTGCAAGCAGAAAATGACTCTAGGAATAATAATAGAAACCATATTAAGCAGATTAGCAAAATAGTTTCTTTTAGCAGAATTGAGTCCATGCATTCAATATGATCCCCGTTTGCAGTCTCACCAAGCTACTTGACCTAGCCATGAACCTTTTTCTTTCTCTCTAGTTTCTTCATAACTTAGCTCATGGCCTCCTAAAACTTAAACTCATCCACGAAACCCACGTTTGTATTGCCTTGACTCCTTTCCCTTTAGACCATTGGTCTTGCGTGCAACACTGACTCCTTCCTTTCACACAGCTCTGTCTCAGCAAACTGCCTCTCCCAGCTTTAATGTTCATCTCTGCCACTGGTGCCTGTACTTTCATTTGCTGCTTCATTGCTCATTAGCTTCTCTTAATCCCCTCACTTTGCCCAACTAATGGAAGTTGCTTTGTGGTGAGTAGGAGTTGCTTTGTAATCATGTGTGTGGCTGACTCCTGTGTTTAATTAAAGTGGAGTATGGGAAGATAATAACACAATTGATACAGTAAAGACCTAGATATTCCCGCTTGATGGATTTCGTAGTGAAGTAGCAAAAGAGCATATACTGTTAGGGGTACTTCTAGCATCTTTATGCTCTGACAAAGAACTTTACAGTGAAAGACGTACTTTGTGAAATGTGATGAGAATTGCAGTGTAGGTAAATATGATGACTAATTTGTGCATAAAAGATAAATGAGCAGATAGCCTTTAAAAGCTGCTGTTGAGGGATGGAAGAATGGAAAAATCTGTTGACTTTCTTCAATTTTAATACCCTGTTGATTATAAGTTGTTCACACCAGACATTCTGTTTCTGAAAATATTCTTTGTTGGGAGTCCTTTTAATCTTCAGTTACTACATGCATGAAACATATCTCGTTTCTACTCCTGAATAGGCTTTGTGGTTCCAATTTATCATATGTTTGCAATTAGTAGAAGGTATTGCTCATTCTGCCTTCAAGGACTTTTTTTGCAGAGAATCTCTACAGTGTGGAATCAGGCTATTCAGCCCATTGAGTCCACACTGACCCTCTGAAGAGCATCCCACCCAAGACCTGTTGTCCTGCGTTTCTACATCCTTGGACACTATGGGCAATTTCCTATGGCCAATCCACCTAACCTGCCCATCTTTGGACTGAAGGAGGAAGTCCACGCAGACATTTGGAAAATGCATAAACTCCACACAGACAGGCTCCTAAGGGCAGACTCGAACCAGGGGCCCTGGTGCTATGCGGCGGGAGCACTAACCACTGAGCCACCATGCTGCCCTTTGCATTGCATGCATTGGTTTTATTATGTCCTTGCCAGTTTTGCACTAAATACCTTGTGCTAATAATGCAAATAGTCCTAAGAGAAGCTGAGATTTATTTTATAGTTAGAATCTCGAGGGTCGATGTTTGAGCAAGATGAAGTGAAAGGAATTTGTGGAAATTTCCAATTTGTGGTGGGAAAGGTGGAAGAGAAATTCAGGAGCAGGGATTTGTTTTCCTTCAAGAGTAATTGCATTGGGCAGTTACTTACATGTAAACTGACTTGGAAATTCATGCCTCAAATTGAAAATCTCTAGAACCTACCAATCGATTTATGCTGCTCTGTTAGTTCCTTCCACAAGGTAGTATGTTCTTAGAGTGAAAAAATTATTGAATGTGTGCATCAATTGCTGATTAAACTCACCACAGGAAATAAGGGTACACAGGAAGAGGCC